AACATCCCATCGTTTTCGCTGCAATCATGGTTAAATAATTATGAATTTTAATTATGGTTTAACTATTGTGTATTTTTCAAGATTCCGATTTTTTTTTTTTAATCTACACGCAGTAGTGTGTGTGTGTGTGTTGAAGGAATAACTTTTGGTGGTTAATAATTGTTTGGTCAGATGAACCCCATCAAGGGCCCTTGTCTTTTGTGTGTGTGTGTGTGAATTTAAGGTCACGATTGTGAGAAAAAAAGGATATTATTATTTTTTTTATTATATGCTGGCATGAAATTGTTTTTCTAGTGTAATAACTGGAATAACTCTCTCTGTCTCTGTGTGTGTGTGTAATAACTAATAAGTAGGCATGTGAGAGAGAGATGCTTTTTTTTTTACAGAGTCTGGTAAATAAAATGGCCCTCTATAAATATACTCTCTCTCTTCTCTCTCTCTCTCTCTATCTCTCTCTTATATTGCTTTAGTGGGAGTGTTTCAAGGTGAAGACTTTGAAACCCCATTTGGTTTGTTTTTGTTTTTGTTTAATCAAAAGTGTGTAATTACTGCTGCAGTTATTACAATAAAAAAAAATCAAGAAAAGGAAGCATTTGGTTTCTTGATTTAGAGAATGAGAAGAGAGCATAGACGAAGAGGAGGAGCAATGGTTGCTGCAGTTGTGCTTCTGTTACCTTTTCTCTTTCCTAATCTCTTCACTCCTTTCACCCATGCCTTACCCTCTCTTCTCTCGGTTAGTTTTTTATTTATTTATTATTTTTTATTTTATTTTAAGTTATGTTGATCTAAATGTAGTATGTGCATTTTGGGTTTTCCTGTTTGAAATTTTTGCTTATTTTTCAATTTTTATTTTTTATTTTGTGTTTATGGTGTCTTTGCTTTTTATTTGTTAAGTTCGATTTCGGTTTCGGTTACAGAAGGATTAAAGATAGTATTTTGAATAATTTAAATTCAAATAGGAATTCTTTGCTTAATTTGGACGGAAAAAGAATTTTCTTTATTTTGTGTTTATGGTGTCTTTGTTTTTTTTTTGTTTAAGTTCGGTTTCGGTTTCGGTTGCAGAAGGATTAGAGATAGGGATAAGGAAAGGATGGAGGGATTTTTGATATTCTTTAAATAAAAAAATGATCTTGTGAAAGTTGGAGATAAGTTAGTCAATAAAGTTTTGATCTTGAAATGAATTCTGTGATTCTGTGTTCTTGATTTCGCTTTTCGGTTATTGGGATTTTGTCGGCGCTCCTAATTTCGTCTAATTAAGTTTGTCTCGTTTTTTCATTTTCTTGAAATAACTTATTTGGTTTCTTTACTAAATGTTAGTACATTTAGCTAGTGTTTCTTGCATGTATTTGGCCAATTCGTAGTCATATTACATATGTAATATGTGTACGAAACTCGAATTGTTAACATTTTACTCGAATTATTACATATTCGTTTAAGAGTTTTATTAAACGGTTAATTCATTCTCATGGGGACGATTAATTTTATTACAGGAGTGGAATGCTCCGAAACTTAGACATTCTCGTTTACTTAAGAGTGCTCTGCAGCGCGAAACTGTGAGTAAGGGGTTCACTTTTCATTTTACAACATTTTTACGAAAATTCAATCGTCTGATTATTCTTCTTCGTATAAATTAATGATGCAATACTTTCCTTTTTTTTTCGTTTAGTCCGATGAACAACTGTCTGAACTGTGGATGCCCTTGTCCAATCAAGGATGGAAACCTTGTATTCGCTCGGATATTATTACCTCCTGTATGTATAAGAATTTTCCGATTTTTTTTTTTTTTTTAATTTATTCCTCTTGGGACTATCGTTACAAAATTGGGTTACGAAAATTAATTTATTTGAAATTTTTTTAAGCAGCGTTAACCGAGAAATCTCAAGGTTATATTCAAGTGTTTCTTGATGGAGGACTAAATCAACAGCGAATGGGTGTAAGTATTTTCTTGTTATTAATTATTATTACCCGAGTAAACGTGTTTTCCTCGAACTGATAATTAGTTGTCTTAAATCACTAATATGCAATAATATTTTTATTTTTATTTTTTAAAGATCTGCGACGCAGTTGCTCTTGCTAAAATCTTGAATGCAACGCTCATAATTCCGTATCTTGAAGTAAATCCCGTTTGGCAAGATTCGAGGTTCTCTTTAATTACATAAGTACACACACCCTTTGCAGTAGCTTGTTAGTACGAGAAATTTCGATTCTTGATTATTTAATTATTTTTTCTATCGCAGCACGTTCGAGGATATTTTCGATGTGGATCATTTTATCGAGTCACTAAAAGACGAGATATCAATTGTTAAAGAGGTGCCCGACGAATACTTTTGGAGCACACGCGAATATTATGCCACTGCCATTCGAGCCACCCGTGTAAAAACCGCACCGGTTCACGCGTCCGCAAACTGGTACCTCGATAATGTTTTGCCCGTACTAGAGAGGTTGGTGCAATTTTTCTGAATTATTTTCGTCGTCATAATTTTTTTATTTTGTTTAATTGGTAAATAAAAATATCTCGGATTTTTTCCGCAGTTACGGAATCGCTGCAATTGCACCCTTTTCGCACCGTTTGGCGTTCGACAACATGCCTAAAGAAATCCAACGGCTAAGATGTAAAGTCAACTTCCAAGCTTTAGTTTACGTTCCTCACATTAGAGCACTAGGTGATGCTCTTGTTAGTCGCCTAAGATATCCTTCGAGCCGAGTTGATAGCACTAACTACCTTAAAAAAGTCGGCGATTCTAACGAGAAACGAGGGGCCGGCAAATTTGTTGTCCTCCACCTCCGTTTCGACAAGGTACTTTCGTTTCTGGATAATATTTTAACTCAGGTGCACTTTCTTGTTTTCTTTTTTTCAAGATTTTTGCCCTTTTAGCCCTTTTTAATTTCGGTCGGTTTTTTTTTTTTTTTAGGATATGGCGGCGCACTCGGCTTGCGACTTTGGTGGAGGCAAGGCCGAAAAATTGGCACTAGCAAAATACCGACAAGTTATATGGCAAGGGAGAGTGTTGAACTCTCAATTTACCGACGAGGAGTTGAGAAGTCAAGGCCGGTGCCCGTTGACTCCCGAAGAAATCGGATTATTGCTCGCCGCTTTGGGGTTCGACAACACTACTCGCTTGTATCTCGCATCACACAAGGTATATATTTTTGGATTAAATTGCATTCAACACCCCCCGTGTTTACTCTAATTGTCAAAGAAACCCCCCATATTACAAATATTAACAAACTACCCCCTAAAGGGTTGTTTGCTAATATTTTTAATACGGGGATTTTTTTAGCAATTTGATATAACACGAGGTGCTGAATGCAAGAAACTCTATACTTTTTGCTCGATTTTTTTTTTTTGGTTCTTTACAATTATTCACACTGGTATATATATATTTTTTTTCGTGTTGTATCTAATTAAGGTATACGGTGGGGAAGCTAGAATATCGGCCTTACGAAGTTTATTTCCTCTAATGGAAGACAAAAAGAGTTTGGCCTCTTCGGAAGAAAGAGCTCAAATTAAAGGAAAGGCTTCTTTATTAGCTGCAGTCGATCACTATGTTAGCATCCACAGCGATATCTTCGTTTCTGCTTCGCCTGGAAATATGCACAACGCTGTCGTAAGAAATTCTCTTTTTTTTTTTTACAAGGGATTTTTTAATTTTTTTTTGTGAATTCCGATTGTGAATTTTTTTTCCCTTTTTTCGGAAACTAGGTTGGGCATCGGACGTACAGAAACACGAAGACAATAAGGCCAAACATGGCACTATTGGGACAGCTTTTCTTGAACAAGAGCCTCGATTGGGCCGAGTTTGAAAAGGCGGTTGTCGAAGGGCATAAAAGTAGGCAAGGGATGCTCAGATTACGTAAATCGGAACAGTCTATATATACATATCCTGCACCTGATTGTATGTGTAATGCTTCTTGATTCATTTTAATTTATATGTTTACATCTTTATATATGAATTTTGTGTGTGTGTAATCTTTACTGATTTCTGGCTTTGAGCTAATAAGTTGTTTTTCAGTGTGATCTGTTGTAAAATTTGGGGCCATGATTATTTATACAATGTCTTGAATAGGATTTAGGATGATTCCTTTAATGTGTCCATTGTTTTATTTATCTCACTACGGGTGGAAATTGGAACGAAATTTCCGATTTCCGCCGATTCCGTTCCGAAATTTCCCGATTTTGGAGTAATATTTTTCAATCCGAACTCCGAAATTCCGACTTCCGAGTTTTCCGAGATTATTTGGATCAGAATTGAAATATGTATGAGATTCCGATTTCCAATCCAATTAAAGTTCCGAAAATGATTTCAAAAATCCCGATTTTTTTCCGAATGTTACAATTAAAATACCAATATTATTATGTATTTTATATTTAATGTGAGCAAAAAATTGAAAATTCTGAATCCCGCCGATTTTAGAACAATTTTTTTCGTTCCAATTTCCGATATTCCGATTTCCAATTTTTTCTGAACAGAATTGTAACTTGTTTTCACTTTCGAAAAAATCGGAATTTTTCCAAAAGGGCTAATTCTAATCTGATCCTTCCAATTGACACCCCTATCCCAGCTTGTTTATCTTACCCGGTGCATATTTCTTTTTTAAATGGTTTTTAAATTCTCCGTATAATTTATGATAATTCAAATGCAATTATAAAATATAATAATTCTAAAATATATTATATAATATTTTACAATTAGAAAGAATTCAAATATTCATTTCACAAATATTCATCTGTAGCAACCAACACTAGAAAAGCACAAATGACCAGATCTTTTTTCAATGTTGTATATCACCCATTCAATAAAAAAACATCTCGAATTGGGGAATACAAAATGATATGTATGTACAAATGCCACTTACACCAATGACAACTCAACTTTAAAACTTCATGACAACTCGCAAATTAACTAGTCCTGCTGATTATCCAACTGATCATTACCCGGGTTTTTCTTCTCCGCAACTGCGGGCCCACCATTACCACTGCGAGAAGTTGCCAACTCCTTCACCTCTTCTGTATTCGGTGGGGCCACTGTTTCTTCCTCAATAGGTAGAGTTCTCTTCGAACCCTCTAAAGCAACTCCAAGAACTATATTCTCTTCCAAAGAAGCTTTACTCACAGGCATACCTGTAACTTGTTTACTGCTCACATTCTCTTGGCCCACCTTTCGCCTGTGCTTGTTGTTAGTGGTATTATGTGTCGTCGTCGTCACATCGGAAGAAATATTGATATTCGAACTCGTTTCTTCGACAGAGACGGGTTTTTTGGGTGAAGATTTTGCGACAATTTTAGGATCCTCGCTTGTGTCGATTTCAGATTCGGCTTTGGCTTCTGTTGTCTGTAAATCTTTTGTTTTTTGTTCGGTAGATGTTGTTGCCTTTGATTTTGAATCGGTGTTTAAAGTTGTTTCACCTTTATTATCTTGTGGTGTTGTTGAAGTAGTGGCTTTGTTGCTGTCTTCTTCCCCATTTGCGCGTGGTGGTCGAGATTGAGTTTTGGTTTTATCTTCACCGTTGATTTTATAGGATGGCTCGATTAATAGCAGTGGGCGGTTTGATACTGGCCCGCCTCGATTGAATATAGAATCTGGAGAAAAGGGCACGTTGTCCTAGTCTGCGTCGGTGAATATTTTCTGAACCGTTCGGATTGGAGTGGCTAATCTGGCACGGTGATGCCTGATGACTCTGAGTAGATCAAGAAGAATAGTTTCCTGTATTTCGAACAAAAAGCGAAAAAAATAATAAATAAAAATCAAATAAGAATACCATTGAAAGTAGACGAACAAAATTGAGTGGAAAACAAAAAAAAAAAGAGGGGCAAAGGTGAAACAAAGATTTAAGTTTTGAGGCTTTAGTACTGCCTCGACCAGGGAAGACAAATTCAAGGAACGTTTGTGTAATTTTCAAAACCAAATGGGGTCTTACTGTAATTACGTACTATGTGTCATAAATAAAGAACGGAAAAATCTCACCTTAACACATAAATATTCTTCAAAATGTGAGGTCTTCACGAAGCAGGAAACCAGTATCTGCATTGTATTGGACGTAATCAAAACGCAGCACATATCTAGTCTTTTGATTTCTTTCAAGGAATTATTTAACGAGTCATTATGACGAGAAGTAAATATTAATCTGATGTAGAACTGTTGAATTGAAAATAAAGTGACAATATGAGCATATTCAAGAATATAAATCTAACCATGAGAGCCTGATTTTCAGGATTAATATTATCCAAGAATACTCTTCTGTGCAATTTCTGTTGTTCCACTTGAGGATTTTTCGCCAGAACCTTGCGCATATCAGCAACGATGTTCTACAAACAGGAGCAAGGAACAAATCATAAAGGATCAAATTAGAGAGAAATAATTCATTTCTTCGAAGCAAAACGTATCAATTAGGGATTAAATAAATAAAAAATAAATCCTCACATTAATTTTGCTGACATCCAAGTGACTGATGGCTAGGTGGGTTTTAATACGCCAGTGAGTTTTTTGAGTGAGATTTCTCACAACATTCATAGTGAACTTATGGTTTGGAATGTGAACAGCTTCACGGTCTTCACCTCTTATAATTGTTGGCGACCACCATCCCACGTGCTGCAAAATCAAAACAAAGAGAGATCGATAACGACAAACAAACATATAATAAAGATAGAGAACCACATGTAGATCTACTCGGAAAATATGGAAAGGCACGAATTTTCAACTTTGCAAGTTAATCAACAGCTAATTAAATCACTGGATACAATTCAATGACTTCAGACAAGATTAATCTGTTTGAAACTATTATGTGTCCCCGTTATTTTCCGCTACCAAATCATATTACTGGACGTTGGAAATTGAAATGAGTCCCGTTACAAACCTCAACTGTCCCAGAAACTTCATAGCCTTCAATCTTGGTCTGAATCCACTCGTTCACAATGAATGGACGGGTTGCATGAATCATTGCACTTGAAAGAAAATTCGTGAAAATCTGAATATAACAAAAAAAAAAGGTATAATTTTAACTGGAGTTAAAAGGCAGGCTCATTTCAACCAACCCGAATACTTAATAGGTGGTATAAAATTGAGAATCGAGCTGAGAATGTAAAATTTAATTTTTTTCACACCTCACGTCCAGCTAGTGTGAGCAAGACTGTCCCAAGACCTCCAGCTGTGAGCCATTTTTGGGTTGAGAAACCTAACAACTCCATGAACAACGACACAGCTGCAACCCACACAGCCGTGTACACAGCTTTGCCAGCAAACTGGAAACCCATCTGTCGAGAAGCAAGAACAGATACTTTTACGATGATATTTGGTATTGCAGTATCTTCATCAGGTTAGGGCAGCATCTTAATTAGTTGAAATCAAATTGCATGAAACAAAGAGTTGGAACATACATTTCTAGTATCGGTTGGGTCATTAGTCTCCATGAAGAATTTTTGTGCATGTTGAATCACACTGCACAATAATTCACAGAAAAGCTTAGTTCCTGTCGTAAAATGTATCATATAATGTCGAATATGTATGATATAGAAAATATGTATTTACAGATGAAAAAAATATGATGGCACATAAAAGAAGAAAAGACTTGCAGCTCCTTGGCATAAAGATACAAATACAAGTACCCGAAGAACATTAAAAATGGATTACTACTATTTTGGCTAGATCCAGATGCCATCCCAAAAAATAATTATACGAAAGTTCCCTACTAATATCAACTCAGAGCACACAATCAGTATAGCATCAACAGAATGCAACGGAAAAATCTTTAGCCACTAACATGTGTTCGATAAAACAGATAACAATACCGACCTTGATAAACAATATGCAAAGGCTAGCACTGTGGACAATGATCTGACAAAATTCAGTAGCCTTTGCTTAACAACTTGACCAGCTTCCGAGGGAAGAATCATTGGATCCAATGCTCTGTAAGAAATTCACTTTCATTAAGTGTGTGATGAGTTATATGATTCTATGTTCATCTTTCAATCAGAGATAACTAACCTGCAGATAAAGATTGCTCCTGCCCATAGCAGCAAAGGTTGAACATAAGAAGTCGTAACTTGATATGTACTACTCTTTTTCCAACTATTGTCACTTTTCTGAATGATGTAGGATAATTCAAATTAGTAAATGGATAGAAACTCAACGCACTTGCAAATAAACTCTTCTATAGTAGAAATAAAATAAGGAACTGAATGTATGAAAAGGACTTGAATTTTAATTTTTAAAGGCAATACATGAAGAAATATGTTTCTGATTAGTCGCACAAGTGGCCCAAGTCCCCACACTGCAAAGATGACAATACCAACAGCTGAACCCAATTTGATCACAATCGGATTTCCTTGCAATGATCTGCAAAACCCAAACTCTCAAGTTAAGATTCTTTTCCAAGTCATTGTCATATGCATATGAAATTCAGAGATGCTCGCATGGAAAATTATACCAAAATGCCATGAAGTCCAAACAAAGTTTAGATGAAATTGATATTCAATGTGAACGACTGAACTACTTATGTTTCAACAGAGAGATTAATGATCCCAAATGCACCCTTCCTTAAAATCCGGATTTTTGTTCTTCCTAGAGGTACTAACAGGGCTTTGAGGGTTTCCAAGATGCCATAAAACGAAATGTTTGATAAAGTTTAGAAGAGATGTCAGGATTTTATAAGCTCGGTTATTTGAAAAATAAAAAAAGAGCTCCCGACTTACTTTTATGCTATATTTAAATGGAAGGATTCAAATCCATAATAACAAATACCTTGCACTTGTTCGGATAGAGGGATTCAAAATCCCCATCCCTCCTTTTTGGTTATAAATTGTACCACTGAAGTGAATTTTAAATGACTGCTTCCTCTAAATTCCTTCCACAATAAATTAATCAGGTTCTTTAATTATATAATATTAATCAGAAAACCACTATTATTAACATCTTATAACCTCCATCGTCCTTTTCTATTTAGATAATGAAGAGCTTCTTTTTAGACAAGAACTAGGAGTTTATGACATCTTTTATATGATTTACCTAAAATCCTCTAAAATCAGTAATACAAAAGCATCCTATCGATCATATGTTCTATCAGCTATTGCGTAGTTCATTATACGTATGTCTCCAATTACATTATTAGTATGTAAAATTTCAAGCAGCTGTTTCCATTTTCATATATCACTTTACTTCCCTTTACCGATAACAAATATGACAGATGTAACTCTAATGCAGAATAAACATCTAAGAGTAATACTTCGAAAGCAAATGAAACTCTAAGAGGGACAGAATACTCTACAGAATGCCTATTTCCAATACATACACATAGCTCAGTGAAACAACCTGTTTGTTTGATACATTCGACTATAAAAACAGTTATTACAACTTACACCAATCAAGTGGAAAAGTGTAAAGGCAATTAAAACTCTTAATTATCAGCAGTAAATCAATCATTGAGTACCACGAACGCAAATGCTTTTAGAAAAATATAGCACCAACTTTTTTACACTACACATACTAAAGCAAACAAGCTGCAAAGGGAGTAATTACCTTGCTAAAGTTAGAGTTGCGTTCTTTACAGAGTTAGCGTCGAAAGAAGATCCTGGACTTAAAAAACAATGGCACCTAAACTGGTGATTTTTACAAGGAACGGTGCATACTCGTCTGCGTGTTCTCTTCGAAAAATTTGAACTCCAAGAATATTGTTGCTGAAGATGCAATTAAGAAACAGTGTCAAGCTTCACCAATAACATGATGAAGAACATTGTCAAAGTGCAACCAATAAAATAAATTAAAAAAAAAAAAACCAAATTCACAAAGGGCAATTTTGGGTAAGTTTCCAAATAGATTATATGCAGGCTACCAGAAAAGATGAACTATCTCAAGATTATTTTGTTTCTTGTGAGAAATTGTAAACCCCAGAACAGGGGCAGGTAAATAAATGGAGAAATTAAGACTGCAAAAACCAAAAACTCAATTTCCCCCTTTAGAAAAATAATCTGAACTAGAGAACCAAAAGTTAAATTCGCGCAATCACAAACCCTACCAGTGAAATAGACGGAAGATTACGGCTCAATTGACATAATCTGACTCTTGCATTCGAATTCTGCAGCTGCAAAAATGAAGTATAGGTTAGATATAAACGAGAGAAAACACGAATTACTTGTCAAAAAAAAAAAAGAAGAAATAAAATTGAAGTAATCGGAAATGGATATTCACCCGAAATCTCTTGCTGCGGCCATGGTTCCTGCAGAATCCAAGCTCAAGGGAGAGTTGCAGAGAACCAGACGCAGCCATGTTAATGGGGATGAAAACCGCAAAATTCTCTCTCTCTCTCTCTCCTCCCTCTTCCCCCTTTTCTCTCTCTGAAAAATAGAGATATTTCGTGTGTATGTATATTTTATATATACTATTCGGATAAAAATGAAATAAACGAGGAGCAAGGCACCATTTTTAAGATAGTCAGGCAGCCAGCCAACTGGACCCGGTCCAACTGTTCGAGGGTAAGAAGGTAATTTTACATGACTTGTGTAAGACGAGATCATCTTTTTGTTAAATTAAATTTTTATACCGCAACGAAATATGCTAATTAATTTTATTTTTGTTATCTCATATCAAAAACTAGTGCATATTTATATTTTTGTTATGTCATATCAAAATATTTGTAGAATATTTGTTTCTTTTTGTATTTAAGAGTACTGTCTGTTAGATCATAACTTTTGCATACAAACTACGATTGCAATGATTCGTTTTGGATTAGAAAGACTATGACAAGTTCTACGATTTTCATATTTTGTGTTTCACGAGATTTTATTGGGATGACTAGTCAAAAATTGTATCGAATCTTTACCGTCGGACCCACTACGTGTTTTATTTTGATCATAACGTTTGCATATCAACTTTACTCAAATTGCACTGATTCAAGTTGCATATCGGTACAAGTACATTAAGTGATACATCGGGTATAACTCGACGATTGTCCTCCTAACACTTAGAAAAACCGTTACAGAGTATAAGCATGAAATAAAAGCCTTTCGATATGCAAAATAACAAATACATTTATATGGGAACAAACTTAAATATTTATACGTGAAATTGACGAGATTCTCCTTGGAAAAATCCAATGTGGACAAGAAAATTTAGGTTTCATCCTGTAGGATTTTAATTAAAGTATTTTTTGTTAGCAGCTTTCCAGATGAGTTAATTGGCCTTCTGAGACGAAGTTCAACTAGGCACATCAATGTATTTAGTTTAACAAAAATATTTTAGATAAAATATAAAATGCAATATATAGCAAATAGGTTAATGACATTGAAATTGGAATAGTAGATTGGAAGAAAAAAGATGAAATTGCAATCGAAATTGGAATCGGAATAGGAAAAGGGCAATTCGATGGCAAATCGGATCTGCTGCTTAATACCCGCACATGGGTTAATACCTTGGTCGAGGGGACCACCCAAAATTTTGGAAATGTAGGCAAATTCTTTCATGAGATTTTGGGTGCTAATGCAAATTTTTATAATGCTTATGAAATAGACCCTTGTCCACTTTTCTTCCATACTAAATTAACTTCTATTTTCCAATGATTATGAAATTTATTATATTAACCCATTTTCGTAGCGTTTTGCGAGTTATCTTTTACTGCGCTGTTTCAATCATATCTGATAGAATCAATGGCCCCAAATCCATATTCCATCCGTTCTTAAATAAGTGTTTCTTTTCACTTTTCACAAAGATTAAGAAACTCAATAAATATTATCTTGATTTTAGAAAATCATATAAAAATGACTAAAACTGTTGGATTTTGGCCCAAATATGTTCTGGGCCATAAAGCCCAATTGCCATCATTTATACACCACCATGAGTTAAGCCCAAGTTATTATAAGTGAGTCCAGCCCATTTCATAGCCAGATCCATCCGTTGAATCTCAGGCTTAATCTGGGCCGTTCATTATCTCACTTAAATAGCATTTTCTCTCTCTTCGTTTCTCTCACTCTGAAACCCTAACTCTTACCCTCTCTTCTCCGCCGCTCCTTCGTCTGTCTTCTTCCTCCCTTGTACTGCCTTGACTGAGTTATGGCTGGAGGTCAAAGTGCACGGTACAGTGCTGACTTTGACCCTCCGGTACAGCCTTCACCGGCTATCTTTGACTTCAGTCCCTATATATGTTGGCATGGAGGCTGGAAGAGGGTAAGACAGAGAAAACCCTAGTCAGACCTAAATCCCTTCGTTTTTCTTCTTTGTGAGTTCAGAAATTGGGGTTTTGGTGAGTGGGTTAGCTTGAGTGCTTGATCTGTTCTTCCTTCGTGGTTTTCTGGGTATTTTAGGGTTTGAGTGTGTTTGAGAGAAAGGAGATCTGTTCTCCTTGAGGTACTCTGGTGGTGTATATTTGGAAGTGTGAATCTCTGGTGTGAAATTGGAAGACTGAGCTGAAATCTCAATCTATTTGTTTTTCCAATCTGTTTCATACCTGTATTTCTTTCTTCCTTTTATATTTTCATACCTATATATATCTATTCTCCTTGGCAGTAATTAATACTGCACAAGGGGAATACATATTGGTTTTTTCAGTAGGTTGAAAATGGAGCTTGGCGCTTTGATACCCTACAGTGGTATCAGAGCTATGGCTATAGCTTAGCTCTACTCAAAGCGGAGTAATTTTCAAAACCTAACTTGGTTTTGTCAAGGTAACACCTCTGAAACCCTAATTTCGTTTCCTGTTCGTTTGACCTGTGGAGATTGGGAGCCCTGTGTGGCTATTGAGTTGGCCCTGTGTGGCGTGGTGGCCCTGTGTGGCATTATGTGGCCCTGTGTGGCATTACTTGACCTTGCTTGATCTTTCCCTCTCTTCTACTTGCTTTTTTCCGCACTTAGTGTAGATAAGGATTGCTCTCATCCACCCTTTCTTGTCCGGACCGCCTAGTGTCGCAGGAATCTGGAAAGGGGAGGGCAATCTGACTTGTTATTGCTCTACTCTGTATTTTCTGTGTGATTCTGTGTGACTGTGTGATTCTGTGCCTCTTATCTGTGTGATACTATGAATGCTTATCCCTTAGCTCCTTTTGATGGAAAAGGGGATTTTCCTATTTGGCAACAGAAAATAAAAGGTGTTTTAGTGCAACAAAAATGTTTTAAAGCTGTTACATTAGCGTATGATGATAACACTACTGCTGCCAAAAAGGCAGAATTTGATGAACTTGCCTATTCTTTGATTATCTTGAACCTAAGTGACTCTGTGATTAGAAAACTAGGAAAACAAGATAATGCTAAAGTCTTGTGGGATAAATTGGAAGAACTTTATACTGAAACCTCCTTGCCCTCCAAAATGTTTTTGTTGGAAAAATTCTTTAGGTTCAAACTGGATTTAAACAAAGACATTGATGAAAACCTTGATGTTTTTACAAAACTGGTTCAGGATATTAAACTGACTGGAGACAAAAATATTGATGATTATTCTCCTATTGTTTTGCTAAATGCTATCCCTGATACTTACAGTGATGTAAAATCAGCCATTAAGTATGGCAGAGATAAGGTTTCTTTGGACACTGTGATAAATGGTTTAAAAAGCAAAGAACTGGATTTAAAAGCTACCAAGGGTAGTAAATCTTTTGGTGAAATCAACTTTGTGAAAGGGAAGCCTAAAAATCAGTTTCAAAACAATTTTCAAAATAGATTTCAAAATAAGGCTTCCTCTAGTAACCAAAACCAGTCTTTACAAAAACCTAAAAAGGGCAAGGGGTGGAATAAGTTTAAAGCCAAAGGCAGAAAGTGTTATAACTGTGGTAAAAATGGTCATTATGCTAATGAGTGTTCTGAGCCTAAAAAGGAAAGAACCAATGAACATGCTAATGTTGTGACTGATAACCTTGGTGATGTGTTTATGGTTGGTGATGTAATGCATGATTATGTGAACTCTGTGATCTCCTCTCTATGTGATAATGATTGGATCTTTGACTCTGCATGCACCCATCATATGACACCTCATAGACATTTGTTTTCTTCTTATGTGAAACTTGAAAATGGAAATGTGTCTATGGCTGATAACAGTGAAAGAACTGTAGTTGGAATTGGAACAATCTGCCTAAAATTTGAATCTGGTTTTGAATTAATTCTTAAGAATGTTAGGCATGTCCCTCAACTTAGCAGTAATCTTTTGTCTGTTGCTATTCTTGAAGATAGTGGTCTGCATGGTAATTGGGGAGATGGTTGTCAAAGAATCATGATGCATGATAAATTTGTTTTCAAAGCTGTTAGAATGCAAAATCTCTATGTGTGTTCTGCTGAACCTGTTTTGCATGCCAACACTGTTAATCATGACATGTCTATTCTATGGCATAAGAGGTTAGGTCATATAAGTCGTAAGGGTCTTGAAATTCTGCATAAGAATGATTATCTGAGTGATGATTGTGTGACTGATTTACCTATATGTGATTCATGTATCCTTGGAAAGCAAACTAAAGTGAAATTTCCTGTGTCTCCATTCCCCAATTCTTCTAAATGTTCTGATATACTTGAATATGTGCATGCTGATGTGTGGGGCCCTGCCCCAGTTCCTTCTCATGGTGGTAATAGATATTTTCTGTCTATTGTGGATGATTTTTCTAGAAAAGTGTTTGTGTTTTTACTCAAGAATAAATCTGATGTGTGTGAAAGATTTAAAAATTGGAAAACCTTGATTGAAAACCAAACTGGAAAGAAAATCAAAACTTTGAGAACTGATAATGGAACTGAATTCTGTAATGCTGAATTTGATACTCTGTGTTCTGAATCTGGCATTAAGAGACATAAAATTGTTGTGTACACACCCCAACAAAATGGTATTGCAGAAAGAATGAATAGAACCTTGCTTGATAGAGTTAGGTCTATGCTAAATTCTTCTGGCTTGAAAAAACCTTTTTGGGGTGAAGCTGTTCTTACTGCTGCTTATTTGATAAATAGGTCTCCTTCTGTGCCCTTAAATGGGGAATTGCCTGAATCTAAATGGTGTGGTAAACCTGTTGATTTATCAAATTTGAAAGTTTTTGGCTGTACTGTGTTTGTTCATCAAAAACTTGATAAACTTGACCCAGATCTGTGAAATGTGTTTTCTTAGGATACCCTGAAGGGGTAAAGGGGTATAGGTGTTGGTTGTATGGTGATCAGGGTTTTAAAACTGTGATTAGCAGGAATGTTGTGTTTAATGAAAATGAATTTCCTTGCTTATCTGTTCCTAATATTGTTTCACCTGATACCACTTCCTCTGAGGTGGAGATTCCACCTGTTAATCCTGTTCAAACTGAAAATGAAAACACTAATGATGAAGTTGTTAATAATGAGATGCCTGAAAACACTGTCTTTGATCAAAATGTTAATCTTGATGTGCCCTCTGTGAATGATCTTGGTGATTATCAACTTGCT